ACATACTCAATTCATCTCGCACACGGGAAGCCCCTTCACAACGTCCGTTCCCAACCCGAGCGCGGGCGCCTTGGAGTCCTTCACCGAGAGGGTCTCGCTGATGAAAGTGCCGCTGACACATTTGTAAATTGGCGACCTCGTTGGGGAAGAAGGGAGGATAGTGAAGAGGGCCATGAGGATGAATATGAGGAGGGAGGAGAGGAGCAACTGGCACTCACAAAGGTGACTTGGTCTGCCCCTCGTTGCGCATCTCCTCTCTCATGCGCACGTTCCTGGCCTTCTCGCCTCCTCGCTACCCGCTGCCGCTCCCCCTCTCTCGTTCTCTCCGTCTTCCTCCCTCCCTCTCTCTCTCTCTCTCGCTCCATCTCTCTCTCTCTCTCTCGCTCTCTTTTTTGTTTTTTGTTTTTCTCTTCTTTGTTTTTCTCTCTCTCTCTCTTTCTCTCTCTCTCTCTCCCATCTCTCCATTAATACATGCACGTGTAGAATATCACTTCCTCTACTTCTCCCCTCCAACTCCCTCATCCTCTACGCTGCTTCTCCAATCTCCGAGTATGCAGTACGCTGGCACTTCCCCCGTGCACACTGCGCTTCCTAGCTGTACTACCGCCTTCATGGTTAAACACGGTATTACATCATTCTCTTTGATCCTGCGTCTCCCTTGTGTAAATCTCTTCGCTGGGCTGGCTCTTGGCCTGCCTTCGGCGCGTGCCACCGCACACGCGATGCGGTGCAATCCAAAACTCTGCCATCTTCGTACCTTATCATGCTCCGTCGTCTTCTGCTCCCCCTGCTCTGCTTCTGCTTTTCCTGCTCAACCTCCCGCGTCGCCTTCACAGCTCCACAAACTGCACCTCCCCTGGCCCCTTCATCGCCGCCTCTGTGCGCGCTGACTTCATCCTCGTTCCCCCCCCGCTCCCAGACATGCAATGTCCCGATTGTTTCAGTACGGATCCCCGCAACTCCCGACCCTTTCCCCAGGGCAGGTTTTACATCCCGCATCATATTCTGACGGTCCCGGGCCCGGCCAGGGCCCCTGGAAGCCGAAAGCGGCGAGAACTCCACCTAGTGCTGTTATGTGTTTTTCACGGCGCATGCATGTCTGGGCTCACACTACTCTTCCTCAAAATTGACACGGCTAGCACGACCACTTCTGCAGGCAGTCGTCCCTCATGGTCACCCAGCCGACAGCACCGTCGCTGAGCGCTCTGCCTCAAGGCGTCGATCCTCCCCCCCGCCCCCTCCTTCTCCTGCAGCTCCTCCTCCTCCTCTTGCTGCTCCTCCTCCTCCTCCTCCTCCATCCCTTTTCCTGATTCATAGGTACTCCTTGTCGCACCCACAGACGCGTCGGTAGGGCGGGCCGGACGCTTCGCCTGAGAATTTTTCACCATGTGTGACAATACACGCTGAATTTTGCAACATTCTCACGGATGGAAGCCGGTCCGTTTTCACAATGTAGCGCTGGCCTCAGCGCCTGGCACATGTTGTTTTCAACGTGTGGCTCTCGCCTTTGCGCCGCGCACATTCGTTTCAAAACTTGGAACACCACTGCGGATGAAGGGCGGGCCGTGTCGAAAATGTGGCTCCTTAGCGCCTCGCACAGTTGTTTCAAAAGCTAGCAGCAACTGTCACGGATGGAGGGCGGGCCGATTTCAAAAAGTGGTTCTCGCCTCACCGCCGCGAGCATTCGTCTTAAAGCTTGTGTCAGGTTCGCACGTGGACGGCGGGGCGTTTTCAAAATATGGTGATCGCCTCGGGGGACACGCACATTCGTATTCAAAGTTTGCGGCATTTTCGAGGATGGAGGGCAGGCCGTCTTCAAAATGCGGTTTTCTTTTTAACGCCGCGCGCATTCGTCATACAAGTTCGCAGCAGCTTCACGGATGGACGGTGGGCCGTTGTCAAGATGTGGCTCTCGCCTCAGCGTCTCGCACAGTCGTATTATCACTTAGTTGCAGTAACTGTTGCGCTTCGCGGATGGAGGGCGGGCCGTTTTCCAAATGTGACTCGCTCTCCTCGCAGTTTCTAAGATTCGCACGGCCGAATTCCCAAGAATGGTGTTTTGGCACGATTTAGGATTGTGGGTACGCAAGATTCAAAACAATGTTCTGGCACGGTTTAAGGTTGTCAGGACGCAACGCTCGCGTTGATCCGCGACGATACGCCGCAGGAGCAATGCTTTGGCACGATTCAGGATTCTCAAAATATTGGCATCCGGTGGGCCACGTCTGGCAATAAACGCAACTTCTTCTAGATTTCAACACAGCAGAATATTTACTGCATCTTGGCTCCACGCGGTCCTCTTCCTCCTCCTCCCTCTCCGCCATTCCTTTTTCTTACGTATAAGTAACTCCTCCCTGTCGCACCCAAGAACACATCGGTAGGCCGGGCCGGGCGTGTCGTTTGAGACTTCCCCAAGCGTTTCACGGATGGGGGCGGTGGGTTTTCAAACTGTTGCTGTCGCCTTCGCGTCACGCACATTCGTTTCAAAAGTTAGCAATAGCTTCACGGATGGAAGACGGGCAGTTTTCGGAGTGCGGCTCTCTCTCTCTCTCTCTCTCTCTCTCTCTTTAGCGCCGCGCGAAGTCGTGTTAAAGCTTTTCAAGAGGTTCGTGCATGGAGGGCGGTTCCTTTTCAAAACGTGGCTCTTGCCCTAGCGCCGCGCTCATTCGTCTTCAGAGCTAACACAGGCTGAAGGATTATTGTGGCCGATGTCCCAAGAAACTTTGTTTGGCATGGTCAAGGGCTGTCACGGCGCAGCAGTTACGTTGCTCCGCGGTATTGACGTCCTTGGACTAACTTCCTGGCGCGATTCAGGCTCGTAGGGACGCAGCAATAATGTTGATCCGCAGCGTTGGGTCCCAAGATCGGGGTCGTGGCACAGTTCAGGAATGTCAAACGGTGGCCTTCCAACTGGGCACTTCCCCCAATGAAGATGAATCCTTGTAGGGACATCTGGAGAGAGAACATGGAGGGAGGGTTTATTGCAATATCGTTGATGGTTCTTGGGTTTACACTGGTTTTCCTCCTCCTCCTCCTCCTCCACCGCCTCTTCCATTTCCTCCTTGTTCTCCCCCTCCTCCTCCTCCTCCTCCTCCTCTTCCTCCTCATCCTCCTCTCCCCCCCATCACACTTCCACGCTGCATTCCCCGCCACCCTCCTCCCCGACCAATTCCCTGCCACACCCTCCTCCCCGACCTCGTCTTCCTCTGCCGCCTCTTCCTTTGCTCCTCGAGATTCTCATACACATTCATCATCACCCTTGGCCTACTCATTCTAGTTTGTCCTCCTTCACCACCCTCGTGTCCCTACCCTTCCGCGTGCTTCCTCCGCCTCAGCGGCATCCTGCTCTGTCCTCCTCTCCTCAATTTCCCCTCCGCTACTGCCTCCACCTCCAACCCCACCCAGAGGCGCCCCACCCCCGCCTTGTTTGTTGTCTGTTATCCAAATAGGCTTGCCCTATAGGAGTCCTAGCTCATCATGAGTAATTGGTCTTTCGCCCCCCCCCCCCCCCCCCCCCCCCTTTTTCCGATGGCACCCACCCTTATTTCCAATGGCACCCCCCTCCCACCCTTTCCCAATGCCCCCCCCCAATTTCCAATGCTTGCTTGCCTTGCTTGCTTGCTTGCTTGCGTGCTTGCTTGCTTGCTTGTTTGCTTGCTTGCTTGCTTGCTTGCTTGCTTGCACGCTTGCACGCTTGCACGCTTGCACGCCTGCCTGCCTGCCTGCTTGCTTGCTTGCGCGCTTGCTTGCACGCATGCTTGCTTGCTGAGTTCCGGATTCCAAGCATGCTTGATTCCTCTGACTCTTTGACTCGAGTCGTCTAATCTATTTGGAGTCCAACGTTGGCTGATATTTTTGGCTGGACTGATATCGAACTAGGACGCGGCTTGCTTGTAGCAAGCCTTGGCAGAGCAAGACCTGGTGAGGGTGTTGTTGGCATGACTGGTCAATGTCCACCGCCATCGGCGACCAAACTCGAAAACATAGAACTTAGGGTGGTCCGCAAGGGCAAGTATGAAAAGGCAGCGTTGGCAAAGCACGAGGCTCCTACTCGACTGCAATCCCAGGCCTGCGACGACTCGATCTCGCCTGCCCTGCCAGCCCCATCTTCGGGACCCTTACCTCTCAACCTTCGACCCACTCGGCGCCCGTACCTCTCGACCCCTTTTTCGGGGCCGCGTCTCCATCCCAGGACGCTTCTCTTCGGCCCCCAAACCCTGGAAGCGGCCCCCGGACGCCGCAAATAACGAGCAGGAGCTCTGGCGCGACGTGGCCGGTTCCGGAAACTCTGAAACCCTGAACCCATCTTTACCGGGGGCGATTTTCACTTCCGCCGTCACAACGTGAACCCCCAGTGGTCTTGACCCATTCCCGGGGACCAGCTTCGACCCCGAACGATGCGTTGACTGTCACAAGGCCTGGTGACGGCCCCCAAAAGCCGAAAACGGCAGAAAATCTCCCGTCGAGATTTTGCACACGACGCGACCACGTCTGGGAAGGGACCGCGCTCAAAGCCCTGGGGGTATGACTGCGGTCTGAAAGCGCTGGGGGCGGCCTCCGCTCTTGGGGCCCACCCTTGCGATTTACGACCCGGATCCGACTCCGACCCTTATCCCGACGACGTTCCCGTATCCTCAGCCTCTGGGACCTCCTGTGCTGGGACCGACCCTGCGACTTCACGCCCGCAACCAACCCCGACCCCCATCTCGACCCCCACCGCGCCCAGGCATCCTCAGCCTCTGGGACCTCTGCTCTTCGGATCCCCCTCCCTGAAATTCCACGCACAGAACCGACCCCGACCCCATCCCGATCCCCCCACAGCGCCCTGGCATCATTAGCAACTGGGACATCTTGTCTTCGGACCCTCCACCCTGTAATTTCCCTCCCAGAACTGTCCCGAGGTTCACCTCGACACCCAACACGCTCTGGCATCCTCACCCTCGTCCTCCTCCTCCTCCTCCTCCTCCTCCTCCTCCTCCTCCTCCTCCTCTTCCTGGTTTTGCTGGGGGGCCTGTCGAATGACGGACCCTGCCGACTGGCAGGGGGCGCGGCTGCGAAAAGAAACCTCGGATGGCTGCCCCACTACTTGGCCAGTCTCGTGTACAGCCCTCGATTGTCGCGTGGGCTTCGTACCGCGACGCAGCGAGTCGCCTTCGCTTGTCAGCCGAGCTGGCGAAGTGTCGCCACCCCTCTATGTGCCGAAGCTCTTGCGGATCTCGCTGGCGTCCTCACCCTGGCGCGCGCGCGGCCAGAGGCGCGTTGCCGCGGCAGCTCCGCCCGGCTGCCCACAACCGGGGAGGAGGCACTGCGGGCGCTGAGGCCCGGCGCCTGGGAGCGGTGCTGCCGACAAGGAGCGCTGGCACTGGCCCGGCGACATCTGTTTTGCGATCGTGGCCAAGCGGGTGGCTGACGCCAGCGAGGAGGACGCCGCCATGGTGGCGGACCGGCACGCCTAGCTACCCTCAGTCTCCCTTCATCGGGAGAACGCGCGGGCGCTGTTGCTGCGATTGCAGCCGTCGACAGGGTAGGCTGCCGCGCGCCTTGCAGCGGCACGGCGGTGGCCTGAGGCCCAGATCTCGGGCCACATGTGTTTTCAATGCAGGTATTTTTCATTGGCTTTGGCTCCCTTGGGCGTTATATATATATATAGATCTGTGTATATATATGTATATATATATACACATGCGAGAAACGGGGTGGCGAAGAAACTGCATAGTTTGTCCTCTTTTGGGCCCCCAGAAATCCCTTCATATGCAACTGCAAAATGCGCAACTTCCTCCCCCCCTTCATCGCCACCCCAGTAGACAATATACGCAACACCCGGCTCCCGGGGCGCGTCACCAGGCCCCAGAACCATCAAAAATGATTCTGCGTGCAGAGGCACGACGCCAGCAGTGCTTCGAACAAGGAGCGCCAGCCCTGCCTCCAAATCTCCGTCGATTCGGCCCGTGTAATCCGGGCACTAGATTCCAGCGTCTGTTGGTTGTTATTGAGCTGCTGCGTACACCAAAAATCCATAGGGAAAGGGACCTCTACATTGGGCCGCACATTGAAATACCAGATCGTCGGGTGTCTGGGCCCTGGAGAGACACGTCAAGGGTCAGCGCGGCAAGGCTCGCTGGGGTGGCGCCAGACAGCCCGCGGAGGGACCTCTGGCTGCTCTCAACGGTCGGGACAGGCAGGAGGGGAGGAGAGCAACCTCGCTGAGCGCAGGGGACGGAGGAGCGACAGGGGAGGGAAGAGCGACAGAGCAACCCCTGATATCCGACGTTGCGCCCAAATTGCAACATTGTCAACCATCACGACCAGAGCCCGGGACCCCACGTTCCTGCGCAATTTTTCGAACGGGATTGCACTGCCAGGGTCCCAGGGTCCGGAACCGGGCGAAAACGCCTCGCTCGAAAAAACTCCAACTCCTGGGTCTCAGCGACCTTGCCCGAGCGCCCCTCCCCGAAGGAGGCAGCGGAATGCGCCCCCGGTGCGCGGCTACGGCTGGCCCGCGCCCGAGAGCCGGCGCCAGGGCAGCTCCCAGTACGCGGCCCCGTAGCCCACGAGGAGCTCGGAGCCCGCCGCCTGAGCCTCGAGGCTGACGCACTCGAGCAGCCAAGGGTGCCCGCGGTATTGCCGCACCGCGATGCTGGAGGAACAAAGCACGGCATAAGCCTGATCTTCCGGAGGTCGGCGCGGATTTCTTGGATCGGCGCTGGGCCCCCCCTGGCGGCGCCTCTGGCGCCGCTGCTGGCGCGCTCCGCGCGGCAAGGAGGGGGGGCCCAGCGCCGATCCAAGAAAACAACGCCGACGTCCGAAAGACCAGGCTTATGGCGTTGTTTTCTTCCTCGAGACGCCCGCCCCCGAAGAGCCCGCGGCATGGTTGAACAACCCCAGGGTCCCCAAGGGCAGCAGCACGACGCCCGCTGCGGCGAGGGGCGCGTCGTCTCCGCCGGGGGGGTGGATGGCATACTCGCGCAGCGGCGAGCGGGAGATCCCGTCGAGGGCCACGGGCAATACGGGCGCCACCTCTGGGGAAGCGAGAAGGTACCGATACCGCTGCTCCCCGGACCTCTTCCAGGGTGTGTTCTGACCAGGGAGTGGAGGATAACCCAGCCGTGGCGGCAAGCTCTCTCCAGGACGAGCAGCAGTATTGCTACCATTTCCTTCTCTACACCTCCAGCGCCTCGCCCGCCGCCACGTCCCGCGCCTAGAGAAACAACAACTGGCATAAACAGACACTTCCGAACGTCCGCGCGGATTTCTCGGATCGGTGCTGGGCCCCTCTCCATGGCGCATGGAGCGCGCCATGGGCGGCGCCAGAGGTTGACGCCAGGGGGGGGCCCAGCGCAGATTCAATCCGCGCGGAGCTCCGAAAGTGAAAATTTATCACTGGGGGGGCGAGCGGTCTTACGCCATCCCGGGGTGCGTGGGTGAAGAGGGATCCCGTGGCCCGGTCTGCTAATTGAGTTCACATTCCGAAAGACTGCAAGCTAACGTGGACCCCAACAGTGTGTCTCTAGCAGCATATGTTGTGCAATGTACGTGGAGCAACTTCTGTGGCGCATTCTACGTGGTGCAATCTACGTTGTGCAAGTTACGTTGCACAAAACATGTTGTGCAGTCTTCGTGGACAAATCTATGTGGTGCAGCCTACGTGGTGCACGATAGGGTACAGTCAATGTGGCGCAGTCGCCGTGGTGCAATCGATGCGGTGCAATCTAGGTGGTGCAACCTATGTGGCGCAATTCGCCCTGCCGAACTTGAAGTTGTCAACTCCACTGCTCGCGCAATCCTCCCACCGACCCACCCACATCTTGGTTTCCAAAACCCCTGCGGCGGCGACTGCGATGACTGCTTGGGGCTGGCCGCGCGCAAAGCGGCCAGCTGGTCTGGCGCGACCGGCGCGGACGAGAAAGCGAGCCCCAGGATGAGCACTTTAATCAAACAGATACAATGGTCTCCAGAGGGGATCACCAATAAGTATGGTTAAGACACGAGAATTCAAACACAACAACACGAACCAATGTAAGACTGTTCGCTCTTACCTGCTCGCGTGCCATTCAATCCGTGTATCCCGAACCCTCGGTACCCGTTCTATTCGTCATCGATCGTACCCTCTGAGGGCATATCTTCCTTACCTGCCGCGTGTAATTGGTACAGCCCCTGAAACAAGGCAAATGAGGACGGATGGAGGGGGGAAGGAGAACCATGCAGCACGGGATTAGCAAGAATGTGGCGAGGAACAGAAAACACGGGCAGAACCAAACAGGCCCACCAGGTGGGTAAAGCCTAACGAGCGAATCGGGATGGCGGGCCCAGCTCAAGCGACATCGCGATTCCGACGTAAATCGTCAGGAAAACCAAAGCGAGAACGCGATTCATGAGTGCCGAGGGCGCGAGCGCCTGCATAACTTGTGGGGAAGTCCCGCGCGAGACGGGCGACTTTGGAATAAACTGTGAGGAAGACGTGAAAACATGATGTACCCTAGAGGAAGGATCAACAATACTATGCTTCAGGAAGGGGAATTCGACAACAACAACAACAACAACAACAGCGACAACAACAGCAACAACAACAACAGCAGCAACAACAACAACTATATCAGACTGTTCGCTCTTCTCTGCTCGCGGGCCATCCCAAACCCTCGGTACCCGCCCTCTTCGTCTGCGATCGTACCCCCTTGAAGGAAGGGACAAACGGGGACCGAGGATAATGGAACACGAGAGAGAGACAGAGAGGCAGGAGGGGAGCTAGGAGCAGAAAGCACGTGGCAGAACCAGACGGATAGATCGGGCGGATAGACCCTGACGGGCGTGTCGGGAAGGCGGGCCCAGGCGGCCAGGTCGAGCAAGCGGGTTGCTGAAGCGTGCGTCCTGCATGAATTGCGTTGACACCCCGAGCGACAGCGCAATTCCCGTGAGGAAAGCCAAAGCGAGCGCGTGATTCCTGAATGTCGAGGGCGCGGCGTTTGAACAAGTTCCGAAGGGAAACCACGCGCGAGAGCGCGATTCCGACCTCAATTGTGAAGATATACTGCGCGGGAGCGCGTGTTTGGAATACACTGCGAAGAAGTATCAGGCGGGAGCCGCTGTTGAATGTCAATGGCAAAACAATTATTATTGATGGACCCCCCCCAAGCGCCCTGGCGCTCTCGCCTCAGCACCGGCTACATGTTCATTGAAAATGAAGCTCACGTTCCAGCGGTTTGGGGGGGCGCCAAAACCAGCCCCCCAGCAACAACAACGCTCCCGCTCGAGACTTCCTCCTTTTTTACTCAGGGCCGGTGCTCCTGCTCGCCGCCGAAAGCCGCCGTCTCAACAAAACCAGCGCTCCGCTCGAGACTTCTTCCCGTTTCACCTTGGACTGACCCGCTACACTTTCTCTCATCGGCGCCGCCCCCAGCAACAACAACGCTCCCGCTCGAGACTTCCTCCCTTTTTACTGAAGGCGGTGCTCCTCTTCGCCGCCGAAAACCGCCGTCCGGACAAAACCAGTGCTCCCGCCCGAGACTTCCTCCCGTTTCACCTTGGACTGGCGCCCTACTCTCTTTTGAATTGGCGCCGCTCCCAGCAAGAACAACGCTCCCGCTCGAGGCTTCCTTTATTTTCCTCAGAGCGGTGCTGTTCCTCGCCGCCGACAGCCCCCATCCCGACAAAACCACGGCTCCCGCTCGAAGCGTCATCCCTTTTTACCTCAAGGCGGTGCTCCTCCTCGCCGCCGAAAACCGCCGTCCCGACAAAACCAGCGCTCCCGCCCGAGACTTCCTCCCGTTTTACGCTGGACAAGCGCCCGACTCTTTTCAGCATTGGCGTCCTGGCAACAACAGCGGTCCTGCGCGGGACTTCCTTCCTTCCTATTCAGGACCAGGTCCTCGCCTCGCCGCCGACAGCCCCCACACCCACCAAGGCAATCCTGTCGCTCGATACCTCCTTGTGCTTTACCCTTGGCTGGGGCTCGACTGGCGGTCTCGCATCGGCGCAGCAAGGCGCGGGCATGTGTTTTCGATGCGAGATATGTTCAAAATCCTCGGAGGAGGTGTTTGCAAGACCTCATTGGGCGGGAGATCTGGGAATTGGAGTAACGGACCCCGCTATAGAACAAGAGTCCCCCATGATGAGGATGGTTATCGTGATGGTCGCATGCTTCGTGTGGAAACATCGCGCGTGAGGGTAACAGTATGGTTGCTGTTGTTGTAAACCAGGGGCCAACAACCCAATTCTGATATTCAGAACAGAACACGGTGCGCGCTGCGCGCCACAGGAAGGGCATTTCAATTGAACAACACAATGTGCCCCGGAGGGGGATCAACAACAAGAACAGCAACAACCGCAACAGCAACAACAACATCAACAACAACAGCAACAACAATAATAACTACAACACTCCCGCGCGATGCTTCCTCACAGTTTACTCCGAGAAGCCTTGGCCAGAGAGGGCCCGAACCTCAGGAATGGCGCTCTCGCCTGAGACTTCGTCGCCATTTAAAACCACAAGATGGTCCCTTCAGGGCAGTATTACCGCTTCTTGTGGATGCCGAAACGGCCATTTCGCCTGAGACCTCTTCGCAATTTAGCACCAGCAGGTTGCTGCTACTCGCGAGTGCCCGAATGACCTTTTCGCCTAAGGCTTCTTCAACATGCAGCACAACGAAAAACAACTTCCTTCATACTATTATTGCTACTACTCGCGGATGCCAGAATGGCCATTTTGTTTGAAACGTCCTAGAAATTCAGCAGCACAAGGGAATCCGTCAGAACAATCTTGCCGCTACTCACAGAGGCCCCAGGAGGCCCAAGACGCATCAAGGATACGTGGCCAGGAAGCGCTTCTCAGCCCTCCCGATCCAGGAGGCCCCAGGAGGCCCAGGAAGCGTTTTCCGTATTGGGATCTGTGTTTTGGGAGCGCCTTCTGGCACCTCGGCCTTGCGCTCCCAGGAGGCCCCGGATATCTGTTCCGGGAACGCTTTTCGCCCCCCCCCGCCCCGAGGAGGCCCCAGGAGGCCCTTCCAGGCCCCAGGAAGCACTTCCCTGTGTTGGGATGTGTGTTCGAAGAGTGCTTGCTGTATGCTTCGCCCCCTAGGTTTCACCCCTATAAGCTTCGCCGTCCCTCTCTTGGGGCTCGAACCCTTTTGCGTTTTACGTATGTTTCTACAAATTGCTCCTCCTGGGGCTCGAACCGTTGTTGTATTTTACGTGCGTTCTTAAATATAGCCCCTCTCGACGGGGGCTCAAATACATTGTTTTTTACACATGGTCCTATATAGTGGCCCTCTCCTGCGGCCCGAATCCATAGTGCTTTGCGTATGTTCCTATGCGTTGCCCCTCTCCTGGGCTTCGAACCCTTCGTGTTTCGAATCCTCACCGCCCCCCAAAGCCGCATGTCGTGCGAGCTGAAAGTGGGCAATTCCATCCATATAACTGTTGGCTCGACCTCCTCGAGCGGGACATCTGGGCGTGGGAATGTCGGCTCCCTTTTTCTGTGTGTGGGAATACCGGCGTTCCTTTGACAGCTCCCCCCAAAAAGGGGTGAAATCATGGGCGATGCATGTAGCACGCAAAAACATAGCGCATGAGGGTACGTTGATTGAGTTCTCACTTCGCAAGACAATTGCTGTGGATATCCCCCTTCCAGTGACCACTCTACTGTTTCAAATAAAATGCTCCTCCCGGGGTTCGAATCCTTTCTCTCAGTCGGGATAACGTGGAGTCACCAAACTGTGCTGTGGGCCCCGGTCTACAAAAGCAGCGGCTCCCGCTGGATACCTCCTCGCAGCGTATTCCAAACTGACGTTCTCGCGCAGGCCGTCTTCACAATTTACCTAGGGACCGCGATCTCGCGTTGGACTTCCTCGCAATGAAGTCAGACGCCGCGCCCTCGACACTCAGGAATCACGCTCTCGTTGCGGTTTCTCTCGCATTTTTTATGGGGTTTCGCGCAATCGCGCGAGAAATTCTCGCGATTCATGCAACACTCACGGTTTAGCAACACCCCTGCTCGACCCGGCCGCTTGGGCCCGTCTTCCCGACCCGCCCGTTAGGGTCAACCCGCCCGATCTGCCCGTCTGGTTCTGCCACGCGTTTTCTGATCCAAGCCTCCCTCGTGCCAATTGTTTGCATGCTCCATCTTTGCCCCCCTGTTCCATCCGCCCCCCTCTTCCTCTATTCTAGGGGCTGCACTATATGCGCGTGGTGGGTAACGAAGATATATCCCCCAAGGGGGCACGATCGAAAACGAAGAGGGCGCGCATCGAGGGCTTGAGTATATACATATTGAATGGCCCGCGAGCAGATAGGAGCGAAAAGACTTCAAATGACTGTTGTGCTATCGAATCCTCACTCATGAAAAAACATGTACACTCGATCACCCTGAATGCTTTTAATTGAAATGGCCAAATCGGGGTTCGCACTCGATTCTCTGCTCAAGCAAATCATATCTTGCACAAACTGTATGCTGGCGCCCGACCTATTACAACAACAGCTCCCGCCGAATAGTTCTTCACAAGTTACTCAAAATTCACGCTCTCGCGCGGGACCTTCTCACAATATATGCAGAAATCGCGCTCTCGCGTGGGGAAACTGCACAACGTATTCAAAAGCCGCGCCCTCGACACTCAAGATTCACGCTCTCCTTGGCCTATCTCACGATTCACTTGGGAATCGCGCTGTCGCTCGAGACTTCCTCGCGTTTCATGCAAGACTGACACTTCAACAGCCCGCCTGCTCGACCAGGCCGCCTAGGCCCGACATCCCGACCCGCCTGCCCGGGTCTGCCCGCCCGATCTGCCCGTCCGGTTCTGCCACGTGCTTCGTGCTTCTAGCCCCCCTCCCAAAATCTCGTGTTCCATCCTTTTCCCTCCCTCTTCCACCCGTCCTCTCTTCCCCTGTTCTACGGGCTGCACGACATGAACGTGGCAGCTAAGGAAGACATACCACCGAGGGGGCACGATCAAAAACGAAGAGGGCGGGCACCGAGGGTTTGGAAAATACGTGTTGAGTGGCACGCGAGCAGATAGGAGCGAACAGGCTTAAACTGAGCAGTGGTAATATTGTTGTTGCTGTTTGTGCTGTTGTTGATGTTATATTTCCATTCCTAAAGAACAAGCTTGGTTGATTCCCCTGGTGCCCATCGTGCTTTTCAATCAAAGTTCTCCTCCCGGGGCTCGCACCCAATGTTTTTTCTATAAAGTCTTGCGACTCTGATTGGGTTGCTGGCCCCGACACTGCAACAACAACAACAACGGCTCCCGCCTGATATTTCCTGACAATGTCGTCCAAGCTCGCGCTCTCGCGCTGGACATCTTCACAATCAATGTAGGAATCGCGCTCTCGCGCATGGTTTCTCCTCGCAATGTATTCAAACGCCGCGCCCTCGACACTCAGGAATCACGCTCTCGCGTTGGTCTTTCCCACGGCTTACCTCGGAGTAGCCCTGTCGCTCGAGACTTCCTCGCGATTCATGCAGGACTCACGCTTCAGCAACCCTCCTGCTCGACCAGGCCGGCGGTCCGCCTTCCCGACCATCCAATTAGAGTCTACCCGCCCGATCAGCCCGTCTGGCTCCGTCACGTGGTTTCTGCTCCTAGCCCTCCTACTGCTAATCTCTCTCGTGCTCCATCCTTCTCCCTCCCCCTTTGTCCCTTCCTTCCATCCCTCCTCTCTTTCCCTATTCTAGGGGCTGCGCCAAATACACGTGGCGGCTAAGGCAGATATACCCCAAGGGGGGTAGGAACAAAGATGAAGTGGGCGGGTATCGAGGGTTTGGGATATACGTGTTCATTGGCACGCGAGCAGATAAGAGCGAACCGTCTTACAACTAGTGTTGTTGTTGTTGGTGGTGTTGTTGTTTGTTGGCGTCATCTCCCCCCCCACCCCCCACCCCGCGACCCACCGAGGGACCCACCAGCGAACCACCCCGCACGCGCCCCCTCACTCATATCCGCAATTGTGGGGTGCTACGTATGACGTTACGTTGGGCCCCTGTGGGTCCTCGCCAGGCCCTGGGACCGTCAAAAGTTACTCAGGATGAAAAGCTGTCCTCGTGGAAGGAGACCAGACCTCTCTGGAGGTCCACGCTACGAACACGTCACGACGTTGAAGGCCTGGGGAGGTCCCGACGGCTGACCCGGGGGTGAGTTTTCGCCCTGTCCATGGATCCGTTTTTGAGGGCCCCGCCGCTGCGGGTGCCACAGTCAAAACTTATAGCAAGGATGCGCGATAAGGATGCAAGTTCTTTGGACGCCCATGTCGAAGCTTTTTCGAGCGCGGCGGGCCCTCGATAGTAGTCGAGGATGGACCACAGAGGCAAGGATACAAGGGTACCCTTGGGAGGGTTGCCCATCTTTACCATCGGTGTCGACTGTACTTGGAGGCTTGGCAGTGGGCACCAGCACCAACATAGGGGGCCGCCTCTACCAGGGGAAGATGGTCCTAGATTCTGGCGTTGGTCGTAATATATCATCCTTGGGCCTCCTAGCAAGCCCGAATGCTACCACCATCATCGAGATCGGGATCATCTTCCATCGGTGGAGGCACGCCGCCGATATTGGTGTTGATGTCAACCTCTAGGCCTGCGAGCTACGTACTGTTGATCCCCCCACGAGGACTGTTCTGCCCCCTGCCAGGTTTTCTTCGGTGCACGCTATTCCCAAGGTGGGATATAGAGTGAAATATCGGCGGCGAGCTCAGGGGGGAAGTGAGCTGGGGCGTGCCTTCTCAGAAGGCTCGGATGTCCCCCGGCCTTCTGAGAAGTTTTCTAAGCCTTCCCCGAAGACACAAGAGCAAAGTTCGCATGCGTCTCCCCCGCCCAGTACAGCGTTTCGTGGTCCATAGGGAGCTCCACTGAAAACGATACCCACAACCACGGTACTCACGATTGCATGTGGCTGGGTCCTTCGCCCAGCTCAATTCTTACTCGCGAGCGCCGCCAGCACGCCCAGGCCGTGCACGCGAGACGCGGCCGCCTCCACGGCCGACCCCCGCCGGCGCGCCAGCGGCACCCTGCGGGCCGCCGCGGGGCCAGCGGCCGCGCAGGACGGGCAGCGCGCCGCCAGCTCTGCGAGGGCCGCGGCGTAGGCCGTACCGCGTGGCGAAGGGCGCCCTGCGGGGGAGCGCCCGCAAGGGGTCGGCGGCGAGCGGGGGGGGAGTGAGAGAGGGAGGAGGCCTTCACAAGAAGGCGGCGGGGCTTCTCAGAAGCCCTACGGCCCTCTGAGAAGTTTGCTGCGTATTTGGGGAAGGCTTAGAAAACTTCTCGGCTCGCTGCCGAGGGAAGGACGGGCACGATACTCAACTCCCCTTCGCCGGCTGAGGGGGGGGCAGACTTCTGGGGGTCCGAGTCGGCGGATGGAAAAACTAAGCAAGCCATATTTTCTGATAGAGATGCTGCCCTGATTCCCACAGAAATTGCCCAGGAAAACATGTTGTTTGACACAAGCATGGCCCCGAACTAGGGAAATCAAACGAATCGAGCTAACCTTTTCCTGACCCCCTGAAAAGCTGACCCCCATTAGCTGGCAGGCGAAGGATACTGTCCGCGACCGACAGCGGACGATGTTGGGCAGGCGGCCTTTCGTCTCGAAAGGTCCACGCCCGCGGCGGCACTCACGGCGAGTCCTGTCCAAAATGAACAAGAACTGCTGTCGGTCTTCGCACCCACTTCTTGAGCAACTACCCATTTCGATTGTTCACCGACCTGCGCGCGGGCGCGGGGGCGCCCGCAGGCGCTCGCCCGCCGCGAGGGGTCGCGCGGCCCTGAAGGAGAGCCTCGGAGGAGCAAAGAAAGGATCGATACTGCGACCCTTCCCTCGTTTCCGCCTTTGTTGGCCTCCTGGGAGGCCCTGGTCGCCACGGCTGGATTCGCCACGAAATTATGGTCCGAATACACCCCGGCAGGGTCCAGGGAGCAGCAGTATCAGAATCTTCTGGTTCCCCCAGAATGGCCAGTGCTGCACGGGCTCCTCCGCCTGCTCCGCCTGGCCCCCCGGCCGAGCCTGCGCCGCGAGGGCCTCTCGGACGACGGCGACCAGCCATCCACCTGCACTGATCATCATGGACGGGCTGACCCTGGGCCCAGGGATCGGCGGACACGCCCTGGCCAGGATGGCGTGTGCATCAGCCTTGCGCCCAGGGCTGCTGGTCTGGCCAGGATCGGTGCACGCGGATGGCCGGCACCTCTCCGACGAGCCTCGCAGGAGTGCTCGACAGTGAGGTTCGCGTCGTGCGCCTCCTCCGCGCAGCACAACAGCGGGGCCCACCCTCACAGCGGGAACAGCTGGACCTTCGGGGCTGTCGCTGTCTCGAGCCCCCTCTGAGATCCGACCGAACATATTGCAGCATCGAAGAAAATCACTTCCGGAGCCCTGACACCCACCGGTCTGCTGCAGTTCTCGAGCCCGATCGATCTGTGATGGCCCCGAGGCCCGAAGCAAGGCAGAATCGCCCGTTGTGAAAACTGGCGACGCCAGGATCTTGGGGCCCCCGCCGCCGCGCGCCTTCGGGCACACTGCGCCGCCGTTGGTCGGCTGGGGGAGCTCGAATGGTAAGGCTTCGGGTTGTGCACAGACAGTCCCCCCCAGGTAGTCTCGGCTGGCCTCAGCAGACCCTCCGAGCACTCTGGGGCGGTCTCAACACCCCAAGCCTGGGGCGCCGCCAGAGGCGGTGCTAAGGTGTTGAGACCACCCTGGGCTACTCGGGGGGCCTGTTGAGGCCAGCCCGGACTACCCTGGGGGCCAGTCTGTGCGCAGTCCGAAGCCCTACCAAGCTCGAAGCAGTAGTCCTGCAGGAAGCAGCCTTCGAGGGTGACGGAGAGCAGTGCGACGCAGGCGCTCCGCTCGACCAGCTCGCCCGCCGCGAACGCGCGGCCCGCTCGCGGGCAGGCGACTGCATCCGCGAGCCAGACGACGTCTGCCTCGGGGCCAGGCGCCGACTCGCTGTGACGGGGCCCAGACATGCTCGCGTCATGGAAAAGATCACGGCGGGGTGATGTTTTGCAATTGTCGAACCCTCAGGGCCCTCGCCGGGCCCCCGGACCGTCAATAAAACGATCTGGGATGAAAAACGGGTCCAGGGGACTGGGTCGAGACCTGTGGGGGTCCACGTCGTGAAAAAAAAATGGCGTCGCACGTCTGGAGGCGACCATGCCGCGCCCATGGCCCTCGAGCCGCTCGAGCCAGAGCGGCTGCGTTCGTTCGCTCGCAAGCCATGTCGCACGACACATCGGCGCCGCAGAGGAAAAAGTGCGAGCCGCGCCGGAAGCGGCCAGAGTGAGCACTTAAGCAGCACTCAGACATCTATGGGGTCGATGAAAAACCATATCGTGTAAGAATGTCGTTCCAAATTGGCTGTCCATGCGCTGCAGAATCTTGCACTCAAAGCTTCATCAGTAGGGGGGAGGGAGGGCGGGGGGACGGCAGGAAGCGGGAGGAGCAACGAAAGGTGCGCAGAAGATGGACGTGACAGTTCAGCGAGACTCAAGGAGTGAATCGAATACACATCCATCTGCTGCCGTCCTTGCTCCACACGGGCGCCAAACGAGAATCAACCGGCTGCCATCCTCGGACTCTGAATCGAACCTGCCGGTGTCCACCAATCAAGGCTGCTGCGACCGCGTGCTCATCCACTGGCCAGAAGAATCTGTCTCCGCGCTGAGACATGTCGTGGGGTGCTCTTGAGTGTCCACATCACCAACGGATCTAGAACAACAGCCGCCATGCCCCAGGCGAAAGGACACCGCAAACCGCACCAATCAGCCACACTGGCACAATATTAGCCGTGGCCTGCAACGCAGGAAGCGCAAGCTGCAAATCTTGCCTATGCACACTAACAAGCTATAGAGGCACGCCAATCAAATAAGCACGCGTCCTGCCTCAAAACTGCACTCGTGGCTCCCAAGATCATGCGTTCTAGCGGAAGCCCATGCAATGTAGTTCGCGGGAAGACGTGCAGAATGCCAGGGAGGGTGACAAGGGGAGGACGCAGGCGAAGAGGACACTTTGCAGACACGCAGCTCTTCGCATATACGCTGCGCGGCGCTTCCATATCTTAAGTTACCCGCTGATGCGACTGGCAGGGTATACCACCCACAGAGAGACAACATGGGATTATCCTCAGCCCCGTCGAGGACGTCAAAGGCAGTTCCTGTCGTACTCTCAAGTATGTCCAATGCGGTCCTCCAATTTACGCCCGTTGCCGTCATGCCACTGCCAGTTACTATGAAACGACAGTATCTGCTCAACTGTCTTTTCACCGATTTGATTGATCATGGTAAGCTATATCAGTTCAAACACTTGCAGTGATCTACATCTATGTGGCCATGACAGAGGTCAGGGCAACTTATGGTTCTTTGGACCAACGCACAGATTCAAGCATTTCTGCACCGTGCCACATTTACATGCCTCAGGGGATACAATCCTGGGGAGGGGTGGACACGACCTCCCCCCGAATGCCTGGTGATCAAATCCTGGGGAAGGTGTCCGAGAGGTCTTGGGCCGGCGGCCCGGAAGAGTTCGAAGCGCCGGAGGCCTGGGACCGGCCATACCCCACGTTCTCCCTGCGCCTCCCCTTTCTCCTCCTTGCACTGGTTCTACAAGCCTAAGAGTGCGCCCCGTGGCTCAAGGAGGGAAAAGAAAGCAGCAGAGAGAGGAGAGCAAGAGGAGAAGCAGCAGCAGCAAGCAGTGCAAACGTGCAGGCGCGGCCAGTGGCCGTCGCCTAGCGCCCCAGCTTTGCGGGGCGCAGCCCCCCTCTCCCCCTCAGACACCCTTCGCCTGCATGTTCTGCAGAACGATGTTGACGAGGATAGCGCTCTGGTTTCAGTAACAGCGCGAATGTCGCAAAGGGCGCGACAAGTCCTGCATAAGCACTGTAACCATAAGAGACGGAAGACTTCGTGACTGGGGCCTGTACACACCCCACCTCCTCACGCGGAGGGGGGCGGGGCGTGCCGAGGCCAGCACTGTGGCGGCTTCTCCGGCCGCCTCTGACGCTGACAGGCCACGCTGTGTTCGGCCTCAACCGCTCAAGCGCTAACCAGGCCCATGCCGATCATCGGCCCTACCTGAACGAGAAACCACACACCACGGAAGCCGGGCCTCATGAGGACGTCCTTTCGCCCTTCAAAACCAAAGAAAGTGTTGAAGGTGTCGGCCTGGCCCTATCCTCGTGAGGCGTGTTGCCTGCCTCTTCCAGCTGCTGCCCACTAGTTCCGCCCTCCCCCCGCCCCCCAACCTAGAAGCTGGGGTCCAAGCAGATGGGGTCGGAAGATCGCGCCGCATCGGCGATGCATCGGCGATGCGCCAGCGACGTCGGCGTTGCATCGGCGCCGTCGACGTGGTCAACACTGAGCTCCACATTGAGCCGCATCGCCGATGCCATCCTTCGACCCTCATCTGCTCGGACCAACTTTGGAGGGCCTGGACCCCCCTCCTGCTCCCCCCAACTGCCTTCCCCGGGGCAGCTCTGGCAAGGAGCCAGGAGGCGAAGGCGCTACGGCGATCTGCAGCCCAAACTACTTGCAAAACGAAGAGGAGGATGAACAAGGGGAGGAAAGGGGCGGAAACGTAGACTGAGGAGGATCAGGACGAGGAGGAGGAGGAGGAGGAAGAGGAACCGCTTGGATGAGAAGGAAGCGGGGGGAGGAGGAGCAGGAGGAGGAGGAGGAGGAGGAGGAGGAGGAGAAGGAGGAGGAGGAGGAGGAGGAGGAGGAAGGGGAGGAGGCGGCAGTGCAAACACAAGACGCGTCAACGATGTTGCAAAACAAAGCCTCCAACTTCCCTCTTCAAAATGCTCAACAAACATATCTACTTTTATTGCGGGAATTGTCCCATGAGAAGACAACCGTCTGATAATCCTCTACCGAGCCCCAACACCATCCCTGGGACTTCAGCGCCACAAATCGACGTAGCTGCTGCATCCTGGCCACCCAAAGCCGTGTCATAATAAAACAATTATCCGGCGAAGGACCCAACCATTGCAGTTGTGGGTGCCGCAAGTGTGACAATCTTCTTCGGTGGCGATCTTTTTGGGGCCACGAACCGCATGAGGGGTGTGCCGACATGCGTGGCGCGGTACACAATACGAACGAAGACGATAAGTCGAACTACGGGAGACTGAGCGCGGGTTTGTCTGAGTGCGACTGCGTCTGAGGGTGAACGAATACGCGTGCGAATGCAGATAATTGCATGCATGCGATCACGGTTATGCCTGGTGTGAACGAATGAGCTCGCTTCCGTCTCTTGTTGTCTTCCCTCTCTGCCCGCGCAATCCAGGCTGCGGGCGCAGCGCAGCGCGGAGTCCCTGCGCCGCGCGCGAGTCGCCCCGAAGGAGTCCCAGCGACGCGCGCGGGTCGTCCGTTTCGCGGAGCACAGAGAGCTAGCTGGCTGGCTGATAGCGGCAAGGCTCTGGCCACGCCAGGCGAGCGAGGCGCTGGGCAGAACGCGCCGCGGAGTTCCCGCGACGCGCGCTGGTCGCCCCGGGAGGGTCCCGTTGACGTGCGCTGATCGTCCGCGGGGCGAGGCCAAACAACTAGTTGGACAGTCGAAAGAAGGCGCAGCTCGGGCGGGACGCCCCTCAGGTTAGGCCCGGCGAGTAAACTCGGTGAAGCCGAGCTCCCTGGCGAGGGATGTCGCCTCCCTCCTGCACCGCTTCGTGCGCGCCGCGAGCTGCTCCAGCTGCTTCCGCAAGCTCTCTGGCGGCCCTGCCAGGAAGAATTCGATGCGCGGCGCCCGCATGAGGACGCACCCACTGGGGCCTTCAGTGGGGTTCCCTATGGGGCCACGAACCGTGTGAGGAGTGTGCCGTAATGGGTGGCGGTGGCGCATGAGGACGCACCCACTGGGGCGTTCGGTGAAGCTCCCTATGGGGCCACGAACCGTGTGAGGGGTGTGTCGACTTGGGTGGCGGTGACGCATGCGCACGCAGCCATTGGGGCCTACGGTGGAGCTCCCTATGGGGCCACGAACCGTGTGAGGGGTGTGCCAGAATGGGCGGCGCTGTCGCGTGAGGACGCACCCAATGGGACCTTCGGTGGAGCTCCCTATGGGGCCACGAACCGTGTGATGGGTGTGCCGAGTTGGGTGGCGGTTGCGCATCCGGACGCAGCCACTGGGGCCTTCGGTGGAGCTCCCTGTGGAGCCACGTTCCTCGTGAGGGGTGTGCCGCAATGTTCGGCGGTGACGCATGCGAACGCACCCACTGGGGCCTTCGGTGGAGCTCCCTATGGAGACATGAACCGTGTGAGGGGTGTAGCGGAATGGGTGGCGGTGACGCCTGCGGACGCACCCACTGGGGCGTTCGGTGGAGCTCCCTATGGGGCCACGAACCGTGCGAGGGGCGTGTCGTAAAGGGTTGCGGTGCCGCATGCAAGCGCACCCACTGGGGCCTTCGGTGGAGCTCCCTATGGGGCCACGAACCGTGTGACGGGGTGTGCCGTAATTTGAGGCGGTGACGCATGCGAACGCAGCCACTGGGGCCTTCGGTGAAGCTCCATGTGGGGCCACGAACCGTGTGCGGGGCGTGCCGTAATGTGTGGCGTTGACGCCTGCGAACGCACCCACGGGGGCCTTCGTTGGAGCCCCCTAGTGGGCCACGAACCGTGTGAGGGGTGTGCCGAATTGGTGGCGGTGACGCATGCGAACGCACCCACTGGGGCCTTCGGTGGAGCTCCCTATGGGGCCACGAACCGTGTGAAGGGTGTGCCGGCTTGGGTGGCGGTGACGCATGCGAACGCACCCACTGGGGTTTTCGTAGGAGCTCCTCATGGGGCCACGAACCGTGTGAAGGGTGTGCCGAGCTGGGTGGCGGTGACACATGCGAACGCAACCACTTGGGCCTTCAGTGGAGCTCCCTATGAGGCCACGAAGCGCGTGATAGGGTGTGCCGTAATGGATGGCGGTGACGCATGCGAACACACCCACTGGGGCCTTCGGTGGTGCTCCCTATGGGTCCACGAACCGTGCGAGGGGCGTGTCGTGATGTGGGGCGGTGACGCATGCGAACGCACCCACTGGGGCATTTGCTGGAGCTCCCTATGGGGCCACGAACCGTGTGATGGGGTGTGTCGAATTGGGTGGCGGTGACGCATGCGAACGCACCCACTGGGGCCTTCGTTGGAGCTCCCTATGGGGCCACGAACCGTGTGATGGGCGTGCCGACTTGGGTGGCGGTGACGCATGCGAACGCACCCACTTGGGCCCTCGGCGGTGCTCTCTATTGGGCCATGAACCGCGTGACGGGTGTGCCGTAATGTGTGGCGGTGACGCATGCGAACGCACCCACCGGGGCCTTCGTTGGAGCCCCCCTTATGGGGTCACGAACAGTGTGAGGGGTGTGCCATAATGGGTGGCGGTGGCGCATGCGAACGCACCCACTGGGGCCTTCGGTGGAGCTCCTCATGGGGCCACGAACCGTGCGAGGGGTGTGCCGAACTGATGATTGTGATGGTGATGGTGATGATGGTGATGATGATGATGATGGTGATGATGAGGATGATGATGATGACGATGCTGATGATGATGAGCCCCTCAGCTTCGGGCCGCGGTGCTTCTGGCCAGCAGGGCCCGCAGCGCAGTTGAGCGCTTTGCGAGCAGACGGGCTCTGGCATCGACGGCACGACGCGCAGCCGCTGCCGAGACGGTAGCGGCAGTTCTAATTTGATTGAAAGCAGCGAGGGTGAGATCGTGAAAGATGGCAATGGAGAGGAGACAATCAGAGGCAGACGCGGACGCCCGAGAGAGAACAATACGAGATTCAGCCGAGAGTTCGGACCACGACAGGCAATGAACGCAGATGATTGGCGGCAGCGGTGGCTAAAATAGGACAGATCATATAGTGGCGAAGGTCAGGTCATATCCGCCGACTGCATTGCATCCAGCTCCGCACGTTTGACATCCTTGCCGAAATCTGCGGGATGTACACCAAGCGTTACACAAACTTCTGAGCACAGCACAAGTTACGAAAGTCGGGAGATGCTGATTTATCACGCCTAACCGAATAGCACACACATCAGCGTCATGCATTTTAGCATCAGGAAGCAGGTGGAGAATACGACGAAAGAGAGGAGGCACGAGCGAGGGGGCAGGGAAAGACGCACGCAAGAAGCAAGAAATGAGCCTTTGAATATCAAGCCTAGCGACATCAGGTATGCGACGATGAAAATTGGGCAGGCTACAAATATGATTATAATTGCTACAGACTTGATGGAAGATAGAATGCTTAAACAGGGGGTGATGTTCGAATGCCACACGGTGCTGGGGGCCGTCGCGGATATCCTCAAGCCTTTCGACAAAGTGATGATACATGGCAGACTTCTGGGCACAACGACAACATTGCAGCACGCCCTTCGACCTCGAGACGACGGAGTTGAGGAAGACCTATGAGCTCTGCACTTTCCAGCATCTGACTTGTAATCGCAAATCGCGGCGCGGCTGTCAGCAGCTGTACAAGTTCACGGATTGTTTTAAAGACGGCAGGCGTGGGCATGAATAACTGCTGGATGTGGCGATGATGCTGATGATGATGATGATGATGATGATGATGATGATGACGATGGTGATGGTGACGGTGATGCTGATGATGGCGATGCTGATGATGGGGAGAGGGAGGGGGGGCAGCGGGAGGACGCGGGCGCTGTCTGTTCAAAACGAAGACCCAACACCACAGGATGGTTGGGACAAAAGCACTCCTGGGACTCCGACGCCGCGAATCACCGCGACCGCTGCGTCCTGGCAATCCAAATAATTCGTGCCAGCTCAGCCGTGAGAGCCCTTGGCGTGGCTGCAGACTTTCGAGACGATAAAACCGCCCGTCATCCTTGAAACTGCTGCAAGCGCTTATGACGAATGTGCTCGGCGCAAATGCGACAACCACATTGCGAAAATGATCGCGCCTCCGTCCTTGAAACCGTTGCAAGCTTGCTCGACGAAGATGCGAGATCCACTTTTGAAAGCGACCCACACTCCACCCTTGCAGCTGTGTTGCTATCATTTCAAACGAATGGTTAAGTGAGATACGCGTGCACTCAACGGAGGAGGAGGAGAGGACGAGAGAGGGACCAGGACAGGGCGATGGTATTTTCATGGCAGCGTGGCGACGCGCATCTCCGCCGAGCGTGGGCCCTGGTGGCCCCACGCTCAACGCGAGCGCGTGGGCCCTGACGGCCCGCGCGCTCGCGCTCTGGCACGCCTGCGGCCGCTCGGCCGACGCAGGCGTCTGGGAGCAAAGCGGGGTGGGTGGGCACCCGCGCGTCGGCCAGAGCCGAACGCTACGGACCCAAAATGGCTACCTGAGCCCACACCCCCTCCCACTTAACCTGCAGTCTACAACCAATCAGACTATACAAGTTAAGTGAGATACGCGTGCACTCAACGGAGGAGGAGGAGGAGAGGAGGGGACGAGAGAGGGACCAGGACAGGGCGATGGTATTTTCATGGCAGCGTGGCGACGCGCATCTCCGCCGAGCGTGGGCCCTGGTGGCCCCACGCTCAACGCGAGCGCGTGGGCCCTGACGGCCCGCGCGCTCGCGCTCTGGCACGCCTGCGGCCGCTCGGCCATGAGAAAAGAAAGACGCAGCCGCGCGCGCGGGGACGCCCCGCCCGAGTGCGAGGGCGGGATCAGAGGCTGCAAGAGCCTCGCGCGCGCGGCCACTTGCCTGCAACCTTGAGGCCTTCCGCGCCCGCGCACCCAGAGCGCGGGCGCGGCGCGTGCGCGATGCGCGCAAAAGAACCGAAAAGGGTGGCGGCGCACGAGGCGCCGGGCGCAGAGCGCAAGTGTGGCCCCGACCGCACGGCGCGCAAGACGCGCAGCACGGCCGGGTCCAGGAAGCACGCGACGTGCGCGCAACGTTAAACTCCTCCAAGAGGGAGGATCGCAGGCGCCACCTGCGTACCGTAGGCTAAAAGAAAGAAGATCGCAGGCGCCACCTGCGTACCGTAGGCTAAAAGAAACAAGATCGCAGGCGCCACCTGCGTACCGTAGGCTCAAGGATCGCAGGCGCCACCTGCGCACGGTAGGCTGAGAGGAGGGCCGACTCACTCACAGGCCGCCGCCTTCAGCCCGCGCCCGCGATGCCGCGGGCGCTGGCGTCGGGGTACGGGGGGGAGCTCCACGCCTAGATGGAGGGCGTGTTCCCCCGGCGGTCGCGGCTCTCGTCTCCGCTGCGGTCTCCGCCGCGCTCACTGGGGTCCCGGGGGCTGCCGCCATCGCCGCCCCTCGACGCGCGACCGTCCGCGCTGGGCCAGTCACGCTCACTCCGGCCGCGGCTGCCCTGGTCGCCCTTGGAGTGGCCGCCCTTGCCGCTCTTGTCGCCCTTGCCGCCGCTCTTGGAGCCCTTGGCGGCCTTGCCGGAGTACTTGCCCTTGACCTTGCCGCCCTTGCCGCCCTTGTCGCCCGCGCCCTTGCCACGCCAGGCTGGGATCCCACCCCCGCCCGCGGCAGCCTCCGCGGCGGCAGCACGCCGCCGCTTTTTCTCCTGCTCGTACCAGCCGCCGCGAGGAGCGCGAAGCTGCCCAGCGTGCTTCCCGGTCTTACGCCGCGTGCGGCCGGGCGGGGTGTCGCCGCGCCGCGCCCACGCTGGGTCCCGCGCCAGACTGTGGCTGGGCGACCTCTCGCGCTTGGGCCGGTGGCGGCTGGGCGACCTCTCACGCTTGGGCCAGCTGAGGTCGCCCGGCGGGCGGTCCCCCTCAGCCCCCGCACCCGTGGCACCCGTGCTGGGGCGCTCGCCATGGCCGACACTGGGGCCCGGCGCCTCCCGCACGGTGTGGCCGCTCCGCCGGGCCTTCTCCACCACCGTCTTGGGTTTGCCGAAGGCGACGCGGCAAGCCTCGCAGTAGCTCACGTCGCACCCCTTACAGTGCCACCGCAGGGCTCCGCTGTTAGCTCCGCCCGCGGGGCACATCTCGCAACCCCAACCGTCTCCCGGGTCAAAGGAGCTCCAGCGCATCTTGAGTGCGCATGTCGGGCAGGCAGGCGGCTGGATGGTCGGGCCATCCTCCCCGTCGCTGCCTGGGTCAGGGCCGCGAGGCCGGCTCGCCCACTCCGTGACCACCGTGCACGGGTCCGTCTTGTAGAACCGATAGTTCGACCTCATGCACTCCCGCGCGCGCTTTGCGTCAGCGCGGCGCTGGAACTCCACCAGCACGCACGGCTCCCGCTTGTGGCGGTGGTCGTACAGGAAGGCGATGTGTTTGACGACCCCGAAGGGCACGACCACCTGCCTGACCACCTCGGCATCGACGTGGTGCGGTACCCGCTCGATGCGGATGATGGACTCGCCCTCGTCGTGCTGGTCACTGGGCTGCTGCTGGGCGCCCTGGCGCTGCTCCTCCTTGCGCCTACGGCGGCTCCTCGAGCGCGGCTGGCGCTGGGGCGGACCGTCCCCCGCGCCTGGCGCCTCCTCCACCTCGGTCTTCACCTCGAAGGACCGCGGCGGCGCCCCCCCGCTCTTGGGCTTCAGGACGGCCTCACGCTTCACGATGTCGGCCTTCGGGGGGGCGCCGCCCGTCTTGGGTTTCAAGACGGCCTCCTCCTCCTGTCCCCTGCGCCCGCGATCGCGAGGCGCATCGCGCTCGCGATCGCGGCGCCTCGCGCGCGAGGGCGAGCGCAAGGGCGCAGGGCGCCTCTCGCGCTTGCGGACCTCTTCGGCGAGGCGCTCCTGGCCCGGCGACCGCGCGGGCCGCGGGCGCGCCTTTGGAGCGCCTTTGCTCTGGCGCCGCGCGGCAGCCTGGATGGCCGCACGCGCCAGCGCCGCGGTGACCGCGTCCTCTCCCGCCTCGAGGACCGGGGCTGGGGTCGACTTCCCCTCGCCCCTGCTCGAGGCGTCGTCGTCGGTGAGCTCCACGACCGCCTCCGCGTCCACTGTGCGCATCATGTCGAGCAGCCCCTTGTTGTGCTTGCAGAGCTCGCGGAGCTCCGGCATGGGCTGCCCCTGGAACTGGGCCAAGGCGAGCGCCAGCTTGGCCGCCTGGCGCTGGACCTTGATATTCGGCCCCGCGCCCACCCCCCACGCACCCCGCTTGCCGTCGACGATCACCAGCTGGCCGTGGTCCTCGCTCGCCCCCGCGGCCAAGCAAGCCGCCGCGATGCACGGGGCTGCTTCGTGGTCGTGGTTGACCACCTCGACGAGGTCCTCGCTGTCCAGCTCGTTCACCACCGTGTACAGGATGTTGTGGGCGGCACTCCGGAGCTCGTCCGACAGCGCGGCCCCCGAGACGACGACGCCGAGGGGGTTCACCGCCATGATGCTGTAGTCATGGCCACGCGCCTTGCTCTGGTCCGGGGCCACCAGGCCCACCAGGAATCCCATGATGCACGCTGCCGGAGCGCGGGGCGACGGCGCGGCTGGCGCGCGGGGCTGGGGTGCGCGCGCTGCTCGCGCGCCTCGCTCTGGAGTGGGAGATGGCTGCGGATGAGAGGACCAAGAGGAGGTGGGCGTGCCTGGGGCGATCGGGAGCGGTAGCGAAAGGGGGGTCGAGGGCGAGAGGTCCACCGGGATACCCCCACAACGCGAAGCCCCCGCCCTGACCTGAATACCCGTGGGACCCGCCTGCTGCTTTCCCACACGCCCATTAACTCCTCGCCCTGGCTCGTATCTCACCAATTCCTCCTCTCCTTCCCCCTCCGTAGTTGACCCTGCTCGCGCCGAAGGGCGCGCCCAGGGGGGGCGCCCGGGCGCCCAGGCCGGGCGTTCCGAGGGCCTCAGATCGCTCCCAAACTGGGGCGGGTCGCTCCCGGCCAACTGGTCGGGGCGGGCGCCGGCCGCGGCGCCGTCGTCACCGCGGGCGTCCGGGGCCAATAAGGCGTGGCCCTCCGCCATGCCTCGGGCGAATGGAGCCTGACGCCGATGGTCCTCCCAGAGGTATCCGTGGAAGGCGTCCGTGGACCACCTCCCGAACCTCTTGACCGCTTCCAGGTCGCGACAGGCGTGGTACAACGCCGTCGCGCCCCCGATGCGCAGGGAGTGGGATCCCATCTGGCCTGCGTCCACGCCGCAGGCGGCAGCCGCGAGTTGGAGGAGCCCCTGCACCTCCTCCCGCATAATCGGGTGGCCATCGGGCCGGCGGAACAGGGGGAGCCCCGCCTCGGTTCCTCGTCCAAACCGGTCCGGCAGCTCCCTCTGGAGGTCGGCGAGTGCGTCCACGACACACAACTCCACCCCCGAACGGTAATGGTTGCGTACGCAACCTGCGTTAAACTGGTCCGTCTTGGACGACGTGATCGTCAGTACTACCTCATCGCAGTCGCTGAGCCTTGCGCTGGGTGTACCTCCGCGCATCCCCTGTACGTCCTGCCCACGCACCACCCGTCCCATACTCCAGGAGCGGTCCTCTTGGACCAAATACTCCGACGCGCGGAGCATGAAAAAGTACCCCGTCATAAGCGCCGCCCATAGGATGGTCGCCTCCCGGCGCGTGGCCGTCCCGTGGGCGAACAAGTACTCTCGGAGCCAGCGCAACATCCGGGGCGTGGCCGGCAGCTTCCGTTTCGCCTTTCCGCCCCAGCGGCGGAGTCCCTCGATCGTGGTCCAGAGCCGGCGCCGATCGGAGGTCACATCCCCAAACCCGGCCAGGGTGTGGGCATATCGAATGGCGAACAGGCGCTGGCGGATGGTCGTGGCTCGCCTCTTCATCACCTTGTACAGGTACACGACATACCGGATGAGGTCATCCTCATCCGTAAGGCGGGCGTCCCGAGTCTCCCCCTGCAGGTATGGGCTCCGGCCTCGGAGCCTCCGCCAGAGTACCCAGTTACGCCACCCGGCGCTGTAATTGGCCCGCGTCCCTTCGGCAAGCTTGGCCAACATCGCCTCGGTGGCGGTCGCATCCAGCTCGCGGGGGTCGGTGAGTTCACCTTGAATCCCTTTCGGGGCGCCCCCGCCGGCGTACCGCCAGGCGGCGGGCTTCGCCAGCGCGGGAGCAGGGGCGCTGCGGGTACGCCGACGGGCCTTGCGCGGGGGTGGAGCCTCGCCGCCCACGCCGTCCATGGCGCTTGGCCTGGGCATGCCCGCGCCTTCCGGAACAGCGAAGGTCACCGCCCCGACCCGCTCCCCGCCTGCCCCGTCCACCCCTGCTGCGGTGGACCGCGCGGTAGCAGGGGGGTCGAGCTGGTCCGCCAACCGAGCGGCGTCGTCCGTCGTCTTCCCCGCCTCCAGCGCAGCCTCGAATGGCCCGCTTGGGCGATCGGGGGCCTGAAGCCAGGCCTTTAGCCACAGCTTAACCATCTCGTCATTAGCGAGTCGGTCGTGATCGGGCCCGACGCCAGCGCGCGCCCCGGGTGCCTCGCCTGCGCTCGCTGCCTCTACGGCCTGCCTCAGCAGGCGCTCCGCCCACTGGAGCACCCAGCGGGCCGTGCGACGCGGGAGTGCACGAGCGGCCTGCCGCATGCGCTCGGCGATCGGCATACCTCCAAGGCCCAAGGCATCCCACAGCTCCGCCGTGCCCCCCTGGGCGCACCAGATTTCTTTCGGGTGCAGGGCTCGCGCGGTCCAGCCGCCCTCGGACCCTTCCAGGATCAGGGTGTTCGCATAGCCCTTCAACGGGTCGGGCTTCGCCCGTGCCGTATGGCAGGGCCCGCGCGGATCATGAATCACCACGCGCTGGGCCCGCCCGCCTCCCGCGGGCTGCCATGTGCCCCGCGGCCAAGGCATCATGCGATCCCCCGTCGTCGAGATCCGAGGGTCCACGAGCAAGGTGCCGTTGTCGAGGTCCAGGCGGAGCTCATCCAGCGGTGGCCGCCCTGCCTCCTTCCAGAGCTGGCAGAGGCCGCGTGGCTCCACGCAGGGCTGTCCCAGGGGGGGTACGGGGCCCGATGCCCGAACCCGTTCCCCGCAACCCCAAACCTGGACCGCCCGCGCGCGTGCCGTGACGTCGCCGAAGTGCGTGCACAGTAGGCGCGTCTCTGGGGAGAGTGCCACATAGCCAAGGCGCCGTAAGCGCGCCCCTAGTCGCACTGCAGCGTAGTTGACGGGGGCGTCGAGCAGCACGGCCAGTGGCCGAGTGGTGATCAGTAGCCGCTCCAGGCCCGTCGCTTCGCGTCCACCGGGGTCCTCCGATAGTGACACGCACAGCCAGCGGGTCCGCGGGGCCCCAGTGGGGTCCTCGGGGTGGTCCCCGTCGTCCGGGTCCCATCGGTCACCGACACCCCACGGCGCTAGCAGCGCCGACCCACCGAGGCTCTCCCATGCCTCCCCGGGGGGCCACGCGGTTCCCACCTCCAGCAGCCGCGCCCCCTCGACCTGCAGGGGGGCGTAGCGTGGTAGGGCCTCCCGGGCTCCTTTGACTTGGAGCGCAGCCGCGCGCCAGGGCCCGTCGTCCCCTGGCATCCGCAGCTCGCGCTGGGCGGCCTCCTCCACCAGCTCGCCCCACGGAGCTGCCGGCGACAGCTCGGTCCATCCGGCCT